GGGGGAAAAATAAGAACCAAGAGAGATTATGTAAAGGTGCAAATTTCCAATGATGAATGTCATTATATTGTATACCTAAAATGTACCAATAAAATAATACTTAAAAAAAAGAAAGGAAGGGCAGTTGTCCTATGGAAGTCATTTAACTGACTAATACTTATTTATATCTATGTTGGAAAAATAAGGAGAGGCACAGAAGTTAATGTGGATTGTTGGTCAGCTTTCTATTACTACAACAAAATACCTGAGATAAGTAACTTATAATATGAAAAGATTTATTTTGGCCTCCAATTTTAGAAATTCTAGTCCACGACTGATTGAACCCATTGCTTTGAGTCTGTGGTAAAGCAGAACATCATGGTAGGAGCACATGGTGGATCAAAGCTGTTCACCTCATGTCTAGGAAGCAAAAATGAGAGACAGGACCAGGGTACTATGGTCCCCTTTGAGGACACACCCCCAGTGACTGAGAGACTCCCTCTAGACCAGCAGTGGCAAACTTATGGGACATGTGCTGCAGTGGGCACGCAGAGCCCTTTCGTTTGGCACGTGAGCCAAGTTGCCCCAGTAGCCAGTTGAGCATTGGATAACAGTTGTTTTTTTCTAAAATAACACCTCAGTATTCAGGTTTAATTGCAGTGCTGACATTTTGTGATAAATATATGTTTTGAGTTACAGTTTGGGCACTCAAACTCTAAAAGGTTTGCCATGAATGCTAGGCCCTGCATCTTAAAGTTTTCATTACCTTTCAATAGTGCCACCCTGGAAACCAAGCCTTTAATACATGAGACTTTGGTGGGAACTTCTAGATCCAAACTATAGCAGTGTGATAGTGTAAGAATGCATAGTGGTAAGCTCAGCCGGTCCCAGCACCCGGAAAGAAGCTCACCCGCTGCCATCCCAGGCTCCTAGGGCCAAGAAGGGCAGAGAAGCTCAGCCAGTCCCAGCACCCAGAAGGAAGCTCCCCGCCTCCATCCCAGGCTCCTAGGGCAGAGAAGCTCAGCAGGTCCCAGCACCCAGAAGGAAGCTCCCCCACCGCCATCCCAAGCTCCTAGGGCAGAGAAGGTGAGCCGGTCCCAGCACCCAGAAGGAAGCTCCCCCACCGCCATCCCAAGCTCCTAGGGCAGAGAAGGTGAGCCGCGTGGGTGCCAGAAGCACCCCCACCCCCACCCCAGGGAAATGAGAAGACACATAAACAAACCTCAAAACCAGACTTCCAGATCACCTACAGCAACCCCAAAGGGAAAAGAGATGGAACACTCTGATACTCAACCACCTGGACTCTCTAAACTGACAACAAAAGAGGATCTGGGAAAAATGAAATCAGAAATAAATACTCAGATAACAGCAAAGATT